ACCGAAACCGAAAGTACACCTGGTACCTAACCCTTCGGGCATGCTCGGCGATAACATCGCAGGGCCGTCCGTTGAAGTAGTCGTGGTCTGGAAAACAGCGTTTCACAGTTAGAAAACCGATACGACTAAACGAACAACGTGAGGAAATCGAGTTTGGCTCAATAAATGCTTACCCATCGTGCAAAACGCCCGGAACAGAATGAACACAAAGATTTTGATCGCCATCCCAGCTCAGCTCTGTTGTTGTTTGAATTTCTGGGAGGAAGAGAGGGGGGGCAGGAGCGTGGACGCCGGAGTGGTTCTAACCGAGCGAGCCGGCAACGTTGCAGTTGAACGTAAATGAACAGAAGTAACGAAATGGGTGGGGGAACGAAGCCACAGAGGGAGCCGTTTAGACGCGCGCGTTCCCAATCCCCGAGGGGAGAGGAACGTGATAGCCCTGTTGGAGTACCTACAGGGTTGTATGTTGAGCAAACCCCCTGAAGGTACTTTTCAAAAAATGCTTCAGGACTTGATAAAAGTGGAAGCTTCTTTACTAAAACCATGTCAGAAACTGGATGCCATCAGAACATGTATCTTGCCACAAGCCCAGTTTGTTCTACTGAAGGCGAACCTGAAGAAAAAGGCCCTGAATGAGTTCGACCGACAACGCAAGGGACTTATTAAATCCATAATGAACTTACCTAGAAGAGCCTCATCTAAGGTCGTATTCATTCTGACGCACAGGGGAGGCGCGAACTCACCACCACTCAGCGACATGGCTGATGTGGCTGCCGTTGTCAGACCATTTAAAATGCTGACATGTCCTGACCCATTGGTGCGGGAGATTGCTGCCGCAACTCTGCGCCATTCGGCATCACCTGTGCTGGAACAAAAAGAACCAACATTTGCGCAGCTATGTACTTACCTGTCTGTCGAAGCCACTCCAATCCAAAGTACTCGCGAGGAGACACCATCTGGTCCGCAGCACGCCGCTGAGCTACAAAAATCCCAAGGCGAAAGTGGAGTTGTTCGGGGGCTAAGCTTTGGTCACTGGCTATACCCATGCCAGTCCAAGCTCCTGATCTCACCATTGTTGACAGTGAATTCCGAGGAAACCTCCATCGCCATCTGAGAGTCAGCCTGCAACAAAAATACTTATAACTAGCGAAAGGCAAGACCTTGTAAGCTGAGTGTTTAAAACAGGTATAATTTATCTACTGTCATTTAACACCTTTACATTTCTCATGATATTGAAAACTATAACAATTTTTTTTACATTATTGGTGTTGCAGAAGAAACGGATTTCATGTATACAGTGCATGATGTTATCAGTTAACATGAACTGCAATTAGTTTAATAGGTGTTAAGCCGAATATTTGCTTTTGCAAGACCTGAAGGAAAGGAGTGACTTAAAATTATGATTGTGCATAGTTAAAGAATGCATGTAAATGAAAGTATGAACGTGTACCTGAGTAATTAATTGTCATTCGTATGTTGTGTGGTAGCTGAATTAATGTCAGTTGCATATTTAATAGACATTTGGTGTGCAAGTTGATATCTGAAAATGATAAATATTTAATTAAATTTGTATTCAGGTGTTCTCTGTAATTATTTACGTGATGTCATGAATACTTACTGTAGTCTAAGAAATGAATTATGTCGAGTGTCTTGTA